AAAAAAAAAAAAAAAGATCCATTTAAAAAAAAAAAACGTGAGTTCAATAAACCATAACAGGCTATAAAATCCTCACTCCTACTGCTTACCATATATAATGAATACATCTTAAGAACCTGGGACACTTCCCTCAGGGGAGACTCCCAAAGGAGCAAAGAGTTACTTCTACCTTTAAAGCTTTACATATTTTCCAAATATGTAAAAGGGCCCCTCCCAGCCCTATTTTGTATTTTATTAGTGCCTCACCATTGCTGAGGTATTCAGTTATTAAAATAGTACAGTGGTATCATTTTAATAGTGTTACTGCTCATCTCCCCATATTTATAGTTAAGCAGCTCTATTTTCTGTTTGTAAGGTGTATTTGCATTTCCTTCAGTCCCTGACCTATTAGCATATTCCTGTTTAACATTTTTATTATTTTGGCACAGAATACTATTTATCTGCCATATCATTTCTTGTGAGAGAGGGGGACAGAGAGAGAGAGAGAATTTTTTAACATTTATTTATTTTTTCTTAGTTCTCGGCGGACACATCTTTGTTGGTATGTGGTGCTAAGGATCAAACCCAGGCCGCACGCATGCTAGGCGAGCGCGCTACCGCTTGAGCCACATCCCAGCCCCCTCTGCCATATCACTTCTAAGCATTGAGTCCCCTCGTGCATTTGGAGACTAATATACCCACCTTTATTTTAATGCTTTCCCTCTTATGTAGCCCTTTAAAGTGGCTGGGTTATATTCTGGTATGGACTATAATTAATCTGTTCCTTCTTTGGGTTTTTTTTTTGGGGGGGGGGGTTGTTGGGTAACTGAGGTGCAATTTACCACTAAGCCACATTTCCAACCCTTTTTGGAGACAGTGTCTCACTACATTGCTGAGTTGGGCCTCTGCCTCGGCCTCCCAAGCTGCTGGGATTGCAGGTGTCCTAGTTTCTACGATTATCTTACTTGGTCTAATGTCTTAATAATTCTACAGGGTTACTGGCAAAATAAAGCCTATTTCGGAGATGTCTACCATGTTTCTTAGGGTCAGTTTTTCACTACAAATACGCAGCTTTTAAATAATGCTGGTAAATGAATAGAAATGGAGAAAAATCGTGCTGTGTGAAATTACCCATACTCAGAAAAAAATCAAGAGTATGGAAGCCAAAGCAAAATAAGGGAAAGATGGCAGGAAAGGAGGTTGAATATGATATAAAGATGTAAGACATCAGTAGAATAGGAGGGAAAAGGAGGGAGGAATGAGGGGAAAGGGATAGAAATAAGGAATGAAATTATAGCTTGTTACACACATGTATAAGTGTGGCAAAGAGTTTTTTTTACCTGTAATAAATATGTGGAAAACAGCAATCAAAAATAAATAAGCCAAGGGGCTGGGGATAGAGCTAAACTGGTAGAGTGTTTGTTTCACATGCCCAAGGCCCTGGATTCAATCCCCAGCACCAAAAATGGAAAGAAAAAATAATAAATAACCCCAGCCAAGCCCAGTGGCTGGCACACACCTGTAATCCCAGCAGTCCGGGAGGTTGACGCAGGATCACAAGTTCAAAGCCAGCCTCAGCAATGGTTAGGCACTAAGCAACTAACTCAGTGAGACCCTGTCTCTATAAATAAAATGCAAAATAGGGCTGGGGATGTGGCTCAGTGCTCCTGAGTTCAATCCCTAGTACCAAAACAATAAATAAAATAAACAAGCAAAGGTGTGAAAGAAATATCAGTAGAAGAGAGCAGAACAGGGGGAGGAACCAGGGGTGGGAAAGAGAAGGGGGATGGAGATTGAAACCAATGTCCTTGCATATATTACTATTAAAATGAACCCCAAATACTATGAGTATTATAATGCTCTTTTTAAAAAAATTAAAAAGCTCCTAGGATATTGTGTGCTCACATATATAACAATCTCACAATCACATATGATCTAAAACGCCAATAAAAATGTGGAAAACTTTTCCAATAAGAGCTCCTGGGGAACTAGGCATAGTGGAACACACCTGTAATCCCAGCAACTGGGGAGGCCGGGTAAGACAGGAGGATCACAGATTTAAGGCCAGCCTTGGGAACTTAGAAAAAGCAGCTCCTGGTAGCACAGGGTGTAACTGAGTACCACAGCATGTGCTAGGCATGCATGAGGCCCTGTGTTCAACCTACAGTATCAAAAATAAAAGAAACAAACTCCTGAATGACACGCTTAATGCATTAATACATCAATAATACAGAGCCAATGAACAAGTCGAGACTCTTACACCAGTGACTTCTACATCACGCTTGTTAATATTCCATGTTCCTACCATGTAATCATAATAATTCTACTTATTTAAGCAGATTAAGCAATTTAATATAATAAGGCTCAAATAGTATATATATTCCACCACCTTCCCCCCAAAAAGGCACGGTCCTCCCCCCAAAATTTTCATATTAAAGGCTTGTATTCATTTTTTCTGTAATGTTCATGTTAGGACAGTCTGCATTCCAGCATTGCTATACTCTTACTATAAAATTATTAAATGACAGCATAAGAACGAATGAGTTTTGTACTTTTTTGTTATCATCTCAAAACTTCAGAGCCTGGCCCATTTTTTCCATGGCTCTGTGTAAGTATGTACCAACTCCTCCCCATTCTGTCTGTCTGAAGAACAGAACTATTGCCATTCTTCCCAGCAGCCTGTATACAAAACGCCTCTATATGAAGAAACCTAGGCCACACCAGTCTTTCTGGGCTTGAGAACAGTTTGTTTCTATGGTGTGAGGAACAAACTGGACTTTCAGTCAATGGAATAAAAAGCTAGCATGTCCTCAACCTTGAGCAGAGGCCTGTGCAGGCAGCTCAGGAAGGGAATGAGCAGCTCTGTTTCCACCCACACCCAGGAGCCACTTATGCCACTGACACTGTTTTCCAAGAGGGCTTCTGAATTTCCAGGTGGAAGTTGGAAATGACCAATTCACTGAGATTCCATAAACAAATCAACCAACCAAAAGGCCTCAGACAGAAAGATGTGTCTACCCCGAGTCTTCAGATCACTGGTTGAGTGTTGGTGCTAAAGCACTGTAACCCAGAGCCAAAAAGGTTGGTTTCTTTCCCTCTCCCCGTCCTCCCTCCCCCCCCCCACACACACACACACAGAGTCATGTGAGGACTTTCACTGTCCCACCTCAACTCATCTGCCACCTGGCTCTTCCACCCCAAGTGCCCCATGACCTACTACTCAAATTAATGCCAGCCACATACTATTAACTAACATTTGACCCCCATGGGCTATGTTTAGAATGTTTTCCCCTCACACAGCAGCTTCTTTGCACCATATTTAATTTAGAAAGTTGAGCATGACAAACATTCCTCTTCTGCCCCTTTTCTCAACAAAAGGTTCACCTCTGAGATTTCACCATTTTAACCACCCTTCATAAGTTTCCAACAAATCATGAACTCATTTTTCTCCAAGAATGGCTGAGCTCACAAAGTGCACAGAGTACCAGCAGTTCTCTCACTTGTAGTTCAAGGAACCCTGGAATATTTTCACAAGAACAAAAAAAAAAAAAAAAAGTGGAATAAAATTCCACCATTTAACAGGTGAGGACCAGACACCTATAGTCCTTGAAGCTTCCCAGGAAATGCACCATGGAGGTTAGGCACCAGAATCTAGGAGGTTCTGGTGAGGCACTGTGGACGTACTAATTGTAGTGGCTTAAAACAGAACACACACTGGGCATGGTGGCTATAAGGCAGGAGGATGGCAAGTCTGGAACCAGTCTCAGCAACTTAGACCCTGCTGCAAAACTTTTAAAAGGGCTAGGGTTGTAAGTCAGTGGGAAAGCGCCCTGGGTTTAATTTCCAGTAGGGGGAGCGAGGGCAGAATACACAAGCTCTTCATCTCCATCTGTGTGGATACCAATACACTGTCATACAACAAAGTAATAACCTGAACAGCAACCCCTAGGCACTGTGAAGGTCTTTTTAAGGAAAACTCTGGTTTTAACAGTGACAGAATGAGTCACTCCAGAAATACAGACTCTTAAATTTTAAAATTGCAGTGTCAGAAAATCTGACTCATGAGAAAAGACTGTTTCAATATCATGCAGATGAACTGATAACTGCTTATAAACTCATTGAATAAAACCTGCCCTTCTCCAGAGTATATGATCTCAATTCTTCAGCTCTTCCAAATAAGGAACATATTTTCTTAAATGATTCACCTATTCAAATACTCCAGAAAGTAAATAATAAAAGTTTTCCATGCAGTTTCTGCTAGAGCTTATTGGGCAATTTCTCTTGACTTCCAGCCTTATCCTACAACAGGAGGAATGTATGCCATCATGATTTTCTGATTCTTAAAACCTTGTCACTTGAATCAGACAAGAAGATTTAAAGGCAATCCAGGTACACTATTATCTAAAAATGTTAAGAGACCTTTGTCAGCTCTCAATAGCACACATGCCCCTCCTTAATCCTAAAATTATAGAAATTCAACAGACAAGGGTTTTAAATAACCAAGTCTTGATCACCCAAAGACACTCTGGAAATTGTATAAAATGCTTTGTGTTCATCACTTCTCATCTGTAAATAAGCAAATCTGTTTTAGGAAATACCCTTGCCTAAAAAGCATAAGTGTCCAGTTTCTGCAATCCTGGTTGAAGAATGCCAATGTCTACTTGAATTTGGGGAAAGGGCTGAAATTTCAGGTAACATAAAGGTATGTGATGGGGCCCATCTAGGTGTAGGGGGATGTAATAACTTGGGTCACATCCCTATCATCCTCCCAGGACAGTGCTAGGTAACCTGCATGGATGACACATGCGCTCCTCGTGGTCATTATTCCACGTGCCCCCACATCGCAGTCTGCCCAACTGTCTCCACATGCCGACTTACAAGTAGAGGGAAAGGTTCCCAGTAGGAGCAGTGAAAGGTATGGAGGCTGACCTGGATTGCCTGGCGTCCCTGCTGGGCATCTGCCAGCAGCTGGATGGTGAGTGCCCTCGAGTCCTGCAGCGCCTCCTGGAGGTAGATGAAGCTGTGGCCACCGTGTCGGCCCATTGTGCACTCCCGACAGATGGGCACAGAGCAAGTGTCGCAGTACAGGTGCAGCACCTGGGGACCAGAGAGAGGACACGTATGAGAGGTGCAGGGTGCAAGAGAGGAGAAAGCAACAGTGGTACCTTGGGTCCCAGAACCCCAAGGACCCTCTTCCCAACAAGCAGGCACCCTCCTACAGGTGCTTCCCTCTCGCTCTGCCCCAAAGCCAGCGGGGGAGCCCACCTTGGGTTGCGGGTTCAGTCATATCCCAAAAATTTTGGCCCTAATCATAACTGAAATGCTTCGACAAAGACACGGATGAAAACAAAACAACTCTCCGGGCATGAAGGATTTCCTGGCAACTCAGCTTAATCGCCCAGGTTTAAACTATGTCCCCGGGTTGCAAGAATATCAAAAGTTTCTGTGGCACTCCAGTCACTGGGTGTGTGTTAAACATACCCAATGGTCAAGAGCCCGTTGATGAGGAGGAGGAGCTCAGCGATAGATCTCTTGCCTTGCATTCCTGAGGCACTGGGTTCGAAACTCAGCACCACATAAAAATAAATGAAGATAGATATTGTGTCCATCTACAACTAATATATATATATATATGTTAAAATAAGGAAAATAAATAAAAACACCCCACATGAAGGAGCTCTGAGCTCTCTACACAAGGCACACAGCTCGCATCTCCTGGGCACTCGAGCAAGCCACAGAGTGAAGGTACCAGAACGGACATAAGCTAGAGTTAAAGCCAGCCAGCTTCTTGCCTTTCTTCTTCCTGCCAATTTATTCCAAGAAATTGAAACTGAGAGGCAGCCAGTGCCAAGAGAACTACTGTATGTAATGTTGTACTCTTCCCTGGGGCCCTGCATCTGGGAAGCAGAGAGAAGGGCTGGGGCAACCCTCACCTGTTGATAAACAAAGCACTCTCAAGAAAGCAGGCTCCTTGGCACAGGGCACCCGTGTCGGGCAAGGAAACTTTTAGTGTGCAAGGAACCCGGGTGCTTTCCATATAGAGCAGCACATGTAGATCTCCCGTGAGGTTGTGGCGTGCTCAAGGCTACAGAGTTAGCAAGGACACAATCAGGAAGCCAACTCTGGGCCTTCTAAAGAGCTGCTTCCAACACAAGCCTGGCCTTGGCTACCTCATTCACCAGGCAACGTGGAGCTCCAGGGTGTGAGCCTCAGGGAGAGGCTGAACAGGAAGCAGCCAGGGAGGTGGGAGACAGACTGAGAGGCCTGGAGGCAAGCCTGAGGGCCTCCGCTCAGAGAGGGGCTGGGGATGAGGCAAATAGTGGGAAAGTGGCTGCTTCTCTCTTTTGAGGTTTTTATTTTCTTAAACATCCAAAATTGTAGCAGGTCCATAGGAAACATCCTCCCACATGGCTCAAGAAGGAGCTGCTCCACTTGGGGATATTGACAGGGAAGTGTATGGTCCAGCATACACTTTAGACTTAGAAACTTAGAAGTTTAGAAGAAACTTCTGGATTCAGAAATAGGAAAAGTTAAAAATTTTAGGATATTGGTTTTCTTTTTAATTAATTTTGTAAAGAAGTGGATCTGATATAGGAGGTTTTACAGACTCCATACGATTATATAGACTCTACACAGGGAAATGTGAAAATTTTCCTAACTCCACTACCAGGTGAGAGAGAGCACTGCAGAACTTTTCCAATAGCAGCAGTAGCCTGAAGCCAGGTGGTGAGGATTTGCCTCCCTCAAGGCCAATTGCTTTTTAAGCAGGTCCACCTTTTTAGAGATGAGCTAATCCTTCTAATCTGTTAAAACTAAAAAATTCTCAAGCAAAGTCTAAATACTAACCAAAAGATGCTAAGCTGGATAAATCCAGGAAAAATTCCTGGGCAGCCCTCCTCCACCCACCCACCCCCCTTTTACGAGGTGGTGCTAAAGCAATTCTACCAGTTTCAACAACCTCAGCCACATTCCTTCCCTTTGCTCCCTCCATTTGTCATGGGAATAAAGGGATCAATCCTATGCTAATGTGAAGTGTGAAAACCTTCTATCAGAAGGTTCCTTTTAAAATTAGAATAAAACACAGCTCCTAACCCTCAGAGGTCTTCCCCTTTCTACCAATCAGCTACGCAACTTGAGACCACATCTATTTTCTTTACATCTTTTCTCAGGACAGCTGTGTGGACTGGCCTAGCTTCCTTCAGGCTGTGGGTTCATGCAAACATAACAGCCTAGGACCGCTCTGCACTTCAAGGCCTGGGAGTGGAAAAGAACCTCCGGCTATTAACCAGAGGCCGGCCCGACCTGGCTGTGGGGCCATCTGTCCAGTCACCTCCTTTGACCTGCCTGAGCTTCAATCTCATCTGTGAAACAAACAGGAGGTCTGACTAGGAGACCCTTTCCAACCCTAAAATCCAGGACCCCTCTCTAGGGACTTGACAACAGAAACCAAAAGGGCTTCCAAGTAATTCTGGGCTGAACTACGAAGCTGGGCCTGGACTGCAGTTGTGCAATTGCAAGAAGTTTTCTGAAGCTTGTTTGTTTAACCTTAGAACAGCTCATGTGATGTGCATAGGAGATCCCCTGTGAATGGTTAAGTCTTAAAGGATTCTGTGGTTATAAGTGGCCAGAAAAGAAATTCTGGCCAAAATAGGTAATGGCAGGGTGTCCAGAGCCCCTGGCACCAAACTTTTCCATGCCCTTCCCTGGCTTAAAAGCCTGGATGCCTCCACAATGTGTCAAGGATGCCTTGCATGCAATCCCACCTGGCACCGTTTGACATGGGATCAGAGAGCCAGTGCTTCTGCCATTCCCTGGGTTTCATACCCAACATCACACACACACACAAAAAAAAAAATGAAAATGAAAGTGGGGATGGGGGGGGCTCCAGATAACAAATAGGCTATTGTATTTAATCAACTACAATTTTTAGAAAGAATGCATGGTCCAAAATTGTAAGATGAAATCAATTCTTGTGAGTTCTCCAGCTAAAAGTTGGGGTAAAGCTGGGAAGATTTCACAGCTCATTTAGGAGTTCCACATCTTATCTGCCTATAATTTCTAATATTGAAAAATCACAATTTCAAAGCTTGAAACACAACCCTTAGGTAAGCGTGTACATGGCTGCAATTTTCTTTGCAAGAACTGGAAGATTATTTTAAAGGAAGAAAGTAGACCATTGCAGAGGGTCCTGTGGTCAGAAATGTGGCAGCAGCCATGAACTGCTTCTCCTGGGACTGACCTGGGGTAGGGATGGGGGTGGGGGTGGGTGGGGGATGGGCAAGTGGGGAAGAAGTCCTCTGGCGGCAGGAATTCCAGGGCCTAACACTGCCCATTTGGGGCTTCCCAGGCAGATGCATGGATACGCCCCTTCAGGCCTGGCGACAATCTGGCTGCCCCAGCTAAATGGAGCAGGTTTGACCTCTGACCCTACTAGTGACCACCCTCTTCCCTGCCCCCAGCTTCCAGAACGTCCCACCCACTGCCTTCCTCTCCCAAAATTTCTAAAATACCAGGCAGAGACAAAGACCTAGGAATGTAGGCCCAGCAGGAAAGGAACTGGGGGTGGGGGAAGGTTAAAAGAAAAATAAATAAATAAAAATACAAAGTAGGCAGGTTTGCTTCAGCCCGTGATGAAATAAAGTGCTTTGTTCATGAACAAGGCGTGCATGTGTGTATGCTCGCCTGGAACCCAGTTTTATACTGTCTGTGGTCCAACAAGGGGCACACACACCCTGGGCCTCCTATTGGAGCCCCCCCACATCTGAAGAAAGAGCATCAGGTTTAAAGTACAGCTACCCATATCAAAAGAAGAATGTAAACTAAAAGGAAGGAGGGGGGGCAGCTTCTGATTGCCACGTGGTTTCAAGTTCATCAAAATTCCTTAACTGAGATATAGAAACTGCTGAAAATTTATTTTTTCAGATAGATTCCACATCCCTTAAAAATGATCAAGGAGATCATTTAGTAAAAAAAAAAAAAAAAAAATGATCAAGGATATTTACTTGGCCTCACACAGACCAGGGCTGTCCCGTAACTCCTGGACAGAAGGAGATCTCTTTACTCACCTAAAGTGGGGGGGGGGGTCTCGAGTTTCCCATTACAGAAAGGCAACAAATAAAATCATAAATCAAGTTGAGCATGTAAAGTCTACCATGAAACAAAGTCAATGACTTAACATCAAAACCAAATGATTTTAGATATAAGACTGAATGCCACTCTTCTGAAACCCAAAGTCCAAACCCTCAGCGGCCCCCACCCCCAAAAACCAGGCCATGTGCTGCCCTGTATCACTGGCCTGGGAGGCCTGTAGAGAAGGAGGGAAGGAAGTAGAAACCTATTTTATGCACCACCATCACCACCAGTTCAAGAGGAGATCTGCTGAGGACAAATGACACAGGGCGGGGGGGGGGGTGTTCCCCCAAATATCTTTAATTTAAATAGATAGCATAAGTGCATTTATTTAAAAACAAAAATAAACACAAATGCAAGTACTTTTTCTAAATCTCCCCAGTGTAGAGCCCAATGTGGTGGTGTTCCCCTGGAGTCCTGCCTATAGCAGGAGGATCCCCTGAGCCAAGGAGGCCAGCCAGCCTGGGGAAGTTTGTGAGATTGTTCATTTAAAAAAAAAAAAAAAATATGCTTCTCAGTGTCTACTGATAACCCAAAAATATGCCAATTTTTATGGACTCTACACATTTTTAAGTATGCAGAACTTTTTCACTTAACTATATTATTAACTTGCAGAATGTGTATCACTCCGTATTAGAACTATTTTTCCTTAATAGTTGCGGGGTATGTGGTCATACCAATTTATCATAATTTAGAAGTTTTGACAGGCGTGGTGGTGCACGCGTGTCATCCCGGCATCTTAAGTTCAAGGATAGCCCAAGCAACTTAGGGAGACCCTGTCTCAAAAGAAAAAGGGCTGGATGTAGCTCATAGTTGAGCACCAACCCATTATCCCACCAAAATCTTCCTATTTCTTTGCTGGGGAAGGAGAAGCAATGCCATAATGAATATCCTTGTTCTATTATCTCATATTTTTGATTTGGTAATATATTCCTTTTTAATTGTTGGAACTGGGGGGGTTGAACCCA